GATTTTATTAAAAAAACTTTTTATAAAAATTGATATTTTAAATAAAGTAATATATTTAATCAAAACTTAGTTTAAATAAAAAAATTAAAGGATTCTTCTCAAATTTATACATACAACAAAAAATATAAATTTTTTAATATCAAAAAACTTGAATTATTTATAATATTTTTCAATATTAAAATTATTTGCAAATCTTATCTCTAATGTCTAGTCATTTTTTCTTAAAACCCAAATCATTGAGAAAGGATTAAAAATACTTGATAAAATACGGATTTATAACTGTTGATGATGATATACATGAACCTTTTTGTTTTATATATCATAAAAAATTGAGCAACGAATCTATGAAACCAAATTGACTAGAACATCGTATTTAAACTAAACATCCTAAAAAATAAAAATATTGACTATTTTATTGAATTGAAAGAAATATATTTATAGTAAAATGATTTTAAAAAATAAATTTGATTTGACAAAAACTGATTTAATCACAAATTCATATGAAATTGCAAGTTTAATAAACAAAAATATCTATTTACATACATCAGCTAAAGATCTTATCAAGCCTGTATTAGAAGTTTACTAAAAAGTTGAATGAAAAGGATTTACCAATTAACTCACTTAGTCTCAGTAATGATATTATTAGAAAACATATTGATAATATGGCATTAATGTAAAAGAATAATTAATTTTGATTCTAAATCAAACAGATTTTTCAATATAAGTTGATGAAAATGTTATAATTGACAATAGAGCTTTATTGTTAGTTTATATAAGGTATATTGATTTAATAGATGAAATTAAAGAAGAAATTTTATTTAGTGATTATTTAATTACTGATATAACTAGAAAATTTATTTTTCATACAACTATTACGTGGTTTGAAAAAACAGTTTAAACATTAATAATATGATATCAATTATAACTAAATGAGTAATATCAATAACGGGATTATATAAGGGACTTGCTATAAGACTGAAAAATATAATACCTAGTATAATTTCTGTGTATTGCCTTTTACATCGACATAATTTGATTTCAAAAACACTAAACACAAAAACATTTTTCGATTGAATTTAGTGATAAAAATAATTAATGACATTAAACATAACAGTAAATCAAATAGATTTTCAGACAATTTTGTATTGGTAGGAATGAAAATGTTATTAGACTTCTTTATAATACAAAAATAAGATGGTTATCTCCGGGGAACTGTTTAAATAGATTAATTAATCTCTTTAATTCTATAGTTGTGTTTTTAAGTAGTAATAATCATGAGGAAAAGGTTTTATTAACAATAAGTAATAGAAACACAATTTATTTTCTTGCTTGGTTATTTAACAAATTAAATAAGATTTCATTAAAAATACAAGGAAATTTTGTTACTATAATAAATTGCAAGTCTATTATAATATGATTTTATAAAAGAATTGAAATATATATAGTATTACTCAAGAAAACGTGATTATTAAAATTTTTAAAAAATATATTGTTATACAGTATTTAATTAAAATTTTTCAATAACAGCATACAGTATTGATCAAAAAAAGTGACCACTTAAAAAAAAAGAGTAAACAAACAATATTTAGTATTTTTGAAAACTAAACACAAAACTAACACATCTTTTTGAAAAAAATAAAAATTAAGTAGCAAAGAATAAATAAAAACTATACTTTTACAGATAGTTTATAAAAAATATAAAAAATTGTTCAAAAAAAGTGACCATTTTACAATTTAATACTTAGTGTTATGTCTTTTATTTTAAAAACCTCTTAACAACGTTTATGAAAGCTTCTTACATATTTAAACACCAAATCATTAGGTATTCCACACCAAATCTCTTTAATTTTTTCTCTTAATTTATTTTTATAATTTACCAAATTTTGATAATTTAGTTTTTACATAAACCCATACAGG